GTAGGTGTGTCTGTATATCTCAACGAAGAGACGACTCTGCGAGTTCGTGTATGCGTGTAGGTGTGCAACGTGTATATGTGTAGGTGTGTGTGTATGTGTTTGTGTGTATGTGTGTAAGTGTGGGTGTGTGTTTATTTGTGTGTGTGTGTGTGTGTGTTCAGATTCCCAGCCTCACGTGTGTCTGGTGGTTCTGTTTCAGATCCTGAGTCTGGTCTACGCCTCCATCGGAGCTCTCATTTTCAGCGCTGTGAGTAGTTTGTTTGCGCGGCTGTCTGTCCGCTCGCTTGTTCTCGCTTGTTTGTCTCGCTAGACGGTCAGTGTGGTTGGTGGTTGGCGGGTGTTCTGATGTGGTTTGTTCCTTCTTCCCTATCCAAAATCTGTCGTCCTTGTCCTTATATCTCCTCCGTGGGTGGTTGGCGGGTGCTCTGGTGTGGTTTGCTTCTTCTTTCCTATCAAACATCTCTCGTCTTTATCTCCCCTCTTTCTTTTTTGTGTTTGTTACTCTCTTGTAACACCTCTAATCTTGGGCACTCATATGACCTTATTGTGTTGCAAGTGCTGTAAAACTCTTACTAAAACTAAAAAAACCTATGTCTCCTCCTTCTGTTTTGTATGTTTGTCTCTAGTAACACATCTAATCTTCAGCACTTCCGTAACCTGCTTTTATTGCAAGTGCTGTAAAATGTTACTGAACACTAAAAATGTCTCTCATGATCATCTCATTTTGCGGCACAGCACCACAACTAGATTTATCTAACAGTAACTTTGGGTTTTTCAAATTTTACTGGAGAAATCAATCACTTGCCCATACTGTATTGCAGTGGAAGCTGACTCATTAGGAGCAGTATTCTTTTCCTCATATAGTCACAACTATGATAGGAGAAATCAATCACTTGCCCATACTGTATTGCAGTGGAAGCTGACTCATTAGGAGCAGTATTCTTTTCCTCATATAGTTGCATTTCTCCTCCCCATCATTTTGTAAAGAATTTTTTTTTAATGAATGCAGTATAACACAGATAGCTCAAATTCGTCGGGACTGGCCTCGGTAGTTTGGGGGATTCGTAGTTTGAGGGGTATCTCGCAAAGAAAGAGAAGAAGAAAAGAAAAAACGGAACCGCAAGCACAGTTCAGCGGATGCTTGATTTCAAGTATTTTGTTTTCAACTGATCCCTGTTATACTGTATCTTTAAAACATTCTTATGTATAAGAATTATCTCCCTTTTCCATGATTTCCCCCCGGGGCAGTGCCACTGACTGTAGTGTCTTTAGGCCATTCCCAAAGGGGGGACATTTCTCGTTCAAGCACAGTAGAATTGTAAATGGGCTGATTCATCCTGTCACGCTCATAACTGTGCCTGATCTACAACAGGGAACTGCTGCTTTTTCTTTCCTGATCCTTACTATTGTCATTTTCCTCTACTTCTTTTGTATGCATGTCACTCTCTTGTGACCTGCTATTTCCGGGGTGCCTTGATAGTTGAAGCAGACTTTGTGCTGTTAAAGCTAGAGAGGAGAGCAGTCTAAGTCTGATTCCCTGTAAAGACTTCTCTGTTGACACTCACCCCTTGGCGCTCATATGACCATATGCAGTTGCGAGCACCGTAAAACCCTCTACTATAAAAACATTTTTCCATGATTTCAGGGTGTGTGTCAGGACAAATTCTTAGGAGCTAAATGGTTATTGCATCCATATATCTCTATGTGTGTCGTGTGTTTCTTTATCTCTCTGTGTGTGTTGTGTGTTCCAGTACATCGTGTTCGACACCTGTATAACATCTCTCTCTCTGTATCATGTGTGTTCCAGTACATCGTGTTCGACACCTGTATAACATCTCTCTATGTGTATCTGTGTCGTGTGTAATATGTATATATATATATATCTCTCTGTGTGTGTCGTGTGTGTTTCAGTACATCGTGTTGGACACATGTATAACATACCTCTCTATGTGTTTCTGTGTCGTGTGTGTTTCAGTACATCGTGTTCGACACATGTATAACATATCTCTCGATGTGTTTCTGTGTCGTGTATGTTTCAGTACATCGTGTTTGACACATGTATAACATTGTGTGTTTCAGTACATCGTGTTCGACTCATGTATAATTCTCTCTCTCTCCCTCTGTGTCGTGTGTGTTTCAGGACATCGTGTTCGACACATGTATAACATATCTCTCTCTGTGTCGTGTGTGTTTCAGTACATTGTGTTTGACACATGTATTATATATCTCTCTCTGTGTCGTGTGTGTTTCAGTACATCGTGTTCGACACATGTATAACATATCTCTCTATGTGTTTCTGTGTCGTGTGTGTTTCAGTACATCTTGTTCGACACATGTATTATATATCTCTCTCTGTGTCGTGTGTGTTTCAGTACATCGTGTTCGACACATGTATTATATATCTCTCTCTGTGTCGTGTGTGTTTCAGTACATCGTGTTCGACACATGTATTATATATCTCTCTCTGTGTCGTGTGTGTTTCAGTACATCGTGTTCGACACATGTATAACATATCTCTCTATGTGTTTCTGTGTCGTGTGTGTTTCAGTACATCTTGTTCGACACATGTATTATATATCTCTCTCTGTGTCGTGTGTGTTTCAGTACATCGTGTTCGACACATGTATTATATATCTCTCTCTGTGTCGTGTGTGTTTCAGTACATCGTGTTCGACACATGTATTATATATCTCTCTCTGTGTCGTGTGTGTTTCAGTACATCGTGTTCGACACATGTATTATATATCTCTCTCTGTGTCGTGTGTGTTTCAGTACATCGTGTTCGACACATGTATTATATATCTCTCTCTGTGTCGTGTGTGTTTCAGTACATCGTGTTCGACACATGTATTATATATCTCTCTCTGTGTCGTGTGTGTTTCAGTACATCGTGTTCGACACATGTATTATATATCTCTCTCTGTGTCGTGTGTGTTTCAGTACATCGTGTTTGACACGTGTATAACATATCTCTCTCTGTGTCGTGTGTGTTTCAGTACATTGTGTTCGACACATGTATTATATATCTCTCTCTGTGTCGTGTGTGTTTCAGTACATCGTGTTCGACACATGTATTATATATCTCTCTCTGTGTCGTGTGTGTTTCAGTACATCGTGTTTGACACGTGTATAACATATCTCTCTCTGTGTCGTGTGTGTTTCAGTACATCGTGTTCGACACGCAGCTCATGCTGGGGGGCAAGCACAAGTACGCCCTCTCCCCCGAGGAGTACATCTTCGCCGCCCTCAACCTCTACCTGGACATCATCAACCTCTTCCTCTTCATCCTCTCCATCATCGGCGCCACGCGGGACTAGCGCACGCCCGATAGCGGGCCGACGGTGAACGATGGCGGGCCGACCGTGAACGGCTGGCTGGCGGGATGTGCAAATAGGCGATCAGTGGCCACCGATGTTTTCGTTTGGTGGGACGTCCCACAGAATATTGCGGGCTGCGGTTTTGCTACTTGATTGCGGAGATCGGGCAGGGGCAACAGATGATTTTGGAAATTCCTACGATTGCCGAGTGAATGTTGTACGCGATGCTGCGATGGTGATGTGGATCTATGTGAAAATGAAAGTCGATGATTGTATACATTCATCCCACGGTGACTATTATCTGTATTGTGAACCACGTACATCCTGCGTGACAAGCTCGCGGTCTGACTGAGTGTACT